GAGCCAGTCAGTTCAAACGCGTCGGTTCAAGCGCTGCGCGTCTCTCCAAGTGGATCGTCCCCCGAGTGGTGTAATCATCAGCCGTTTACTTCGCACCTCGTTTATTTTGCATCCTCTCGTCCTCGCTTGTATCACCTCTCGTGTACAAATCAAGGGGTCCAGTTACACTATCGCACCGTCGGCGCAACGCGCGCGCGTGCGAGACGTTGAAGCGGAGTGCTTGAACGCGGAGTGAGGTCGTGAGAGGATAGAAATCCTCCGGAGAGCAGAGTCCCTTAAACGACCACCGCCTAGATCGCCGTAAAGGATGACGGACGTCCAGGCGAACCCGGGTGGCAGACTACAGAGCGAGGTGGCCGCGGCGCAGCAAACAGGTTGGTCCCGCTCGTGGACACCTTTGCGCTTCCTCCTCCGCGTCGACGTTTATTTTTGCGACCGACAACCTTGAGACCACGTCCGTGGTCCACGGATACTGCCGATTGGAGCAAACAGCGCGCGCGCGCGTTTTCCGCCATTTTGACCTGACTCTCGTAGATAGAGGATCTGATCTCGCGGAAAAAATCGTTCTTTTCCGCGTCTCACATTGTCCCTGCGTCGCTGATCTTCTCACGCGATCGTTAAAATGAGCTGCACGTCTGCGGAACGGCGTTCCCGATCCGCCGTGCGATGAAGCGGGTGCGGTCCACGAGAAACACGCGCGATATCGGAGATGATCAGTGATTGATAAATGATTTTATTTCATTCTTTTGGGAAGTCTGGGTGCTCGTCAAAACTGAGACACGAATATGTAACATCCAAAAAACGATAATCTAATTGTAAAGTAAAATTTCCAGTAACCTCATATTCTAAGCAGAAACTTTTACAGAAAGAGTATTCCTCTTCCAATACACTGGACTATTCATCAAAAATGTATTGGAGATTATTCCAACAGTTTTCCTCTTGTATGAAGAGGAATATATTTACTGAAAGCGGAGTGCCCTCTTACGAGTAAATTATATTAGGAACAGCAAGATTTTTACTGCAGATGCAAAACGAAAGTACTCTAACTGTAAGAATATTGTGCTTAGCATATTTTCCTCTTAATTTCAGAAGATTCCTCTTGAGGCCGTATATAAGAATAAAATCCTCTAAGATTTAGCGGTTTTTCTGCTAATATTAAAATTTTTTTTTTTTTGAGTGAACCCTCCGTTAAATTTCTATCTACAAATTATTTTAAAAGCGAAGAAGAGACTCATTAAAAGCGTATCTCTGCAGAGCGTCCTCATCTATCAGTCTTCTAGAAACATCGACGAACAATTTTTCCTCACGTACCATCGTTTTATTTCAATTAAACGTTCTTCGAGATATAAATTGAACTGAACGCATCAATCAGCTTTAATTAATCTTTTTCTGTTTATCTGATTCTCTCACCAATTTATTACCTTATGTTTATTCATTTTTGTATTGTTCACGACATATTTATCTACATCTTGCTGCTTCAGCGCATGCCATGCATATAATATTGTATTGTATATAATTAGGATATATATGTGTTGATATTTACATAATTCATAATAATTACACTGCGTTTAAACACTAACGTTACGGAAATAGCTCGCAAATTTATTATATTTATCACATTTGTCACGTTTATCATATATTACCTTTTCTGTTTGAGTTAATTATGTGATAAAGATAAATTTTCGATTCAACAAAGATTTTGTGGTTCTATTTGGAGATATGGTAATGTCTCGGCGCTGAGATAAGCGCAACGTCATGGCGCGTAAGACATACGCCTTATTTAAATTTTATTATATTTGAGTATTTTAAAAATGTCGGATAAATTTACAATTATCGAACAAAAAACTACCTACAACAATGACTTATATTTTATCCATTTTAATATTATATGTATCTATTTTTAACTTCAAGACCCTCTAAATAATATATGCTTGAAAGTTAAGCCTGTCACTTATCTCTTGATGGCAACAAGTATTTCCATTAAAAGTGATAGAAAAAACGTATCGGTATGAAAACAGGCTTTTGTAAAAAACAATATATTACAAGTGTGCCCATATACAATAACTATATATGTATTAATACAATAATAATTAATAAACAATTTGTCGAAGTTTTGCCAACTGTCGTGAAAAGATTAAATATATTTTTATTAATAAGAGATAAAAGAAAATTTGACGTAAAACAGACTTGTGATATGGAACAGATATATTTTATTCGAAAATATTGCATATATTTTTTTATACTATATATTAGGTGTTAAACTTAATTCCTGCAGTTTTT